TCTCGCCTTCCCCCTGAAGGCCGCCTGCCCACTCGAGCGTGCGCTTATGAATGCTATTTATAGAAGTCCAGCCTGATCGATTTGATTTGCAAGCGGCACCGGGGAGAGCTTTTTCTTTTCTCTTTCACCGCGTTGGAGTTGCTCTTTTGACCTCATGTGCGCGCACACACAGGCACTTATTGGAAATATGGGTGTGTAAATTTCATGTTAACGCTCGCTGGAATATTGAAGGAAAATATTGCTGGGGTCAGTGGGTTGGTTGAAGGGTCAAAGTGCACTTGGGTAGATTTGGCAGCATATATGTTTGATATCTGAAGACTGAAATAGATTCAATGCAGCTGCGGATGAGGGATGGAGAGTATTGTGGAGCTGTCGATAATTCAACTGTGAATTTTGAAGAGCGCATTTTAATGCTTCGGGAAAGGGGTCTATTATGCTCGGCGAGGATGGAGTAATGAAATGAACACTTTTATTCAGCAGGGATGCATTAAATGATCAAATGTCACATCTGGAGATTTTAATAATCAGAGAATCCTGAAAAAGGACAATAATGGGAACTTATATCAATAATTACTCATCAAACCAAATGAAAATAATTTCTGAAAGTGTCACTGTAGACATCCAAATCCAAGTTTTATTAGTACTTTTTTACTGTGTTTTTGTTTGTGTATTTTTATTGCAACCCAAGCTCATTCTGGAAACGTAGCCCCGCGGATGTTTCTGGAGACCGCGAATTACGTAAGGCCACGTTTTATTTTTTTCGAGCGAACGCTGCGGGGCGGTGTCACCTCCGTGTGGAGGGTTTTTCCGCTGAAACCAGTTTGTCCGCTTAGTTTGTGGCGTTACGTCGGCAGAGCAGAGACCCGGAGGAGGTGGAGCCAGCCACGGCGACGACCAGGATCGAGTCCGGGGAAGAGCGGTTTCGGAAATTAGGTAAGATGAAAAACAGAATCTAAAAAATGAAAGCGAACGAGTTCGCGACGGGGCGAGATCCGAAAACGCGGTCAAAATCGGATGACGGCTTTTGAAAATCGTCGCTTGGGTTTAGGGAAGGCCTATTGGCTGTCCGCCCAGTCCATCGTTCAGTCGTTCAGCCAGTCAGTCAGACGGACGGTCGCTCCACAGCGGCCTCCGGCGGCTGTTCACGCGAGAACAGCGCAAGCGCGAACGGCGCACGCTCCCGAGAGGCGTTCGAGACGCGAAAAAAGCGCGCACAGCGGCCTCTCCCGGATTCGCAAAAACAAAAACTGCTCTTGTACCTCCCGGGACGTATTTCGCAGTCTCCAGAAACGTCCACGGGGCTACATTTCCACAATGAGCCTGGGTTGCTTCATAGTCTTTCACTATAAGCAAAGTCCCATTAAGGCAAGTCATTTCACTGGGTGGCCATCTCTGAAACACCTCTCGGGCATTCTGTCTGAATGGGGAAACACCAAATTCTCCAAAGCTGCTTGTCAAGCTTACGATTAAATTTCATATTAGGAATCACCAATGAAGGTAAACAACAACTGTCTCTTTAGTTTCATTTCTAAATGTATGAACAACACAAAATCTGTAGAAACTGACGTCTGGTCTAAGTCCCTTCCTAGGAGGATCCTCAGTCTATAGCGATTGATTATTGGCTCCTGTACTAGAAGGCGGAGCTTCATTTGCCATACTGACGTTACACTTTTCCCCATTTAAATCTATACGAGTGACACCTCTTGTGTATTCTACAGTCTTTGCTATATGGCTGCATTTATTTAATTGAAAATACAGTTAATCAGATGAGCATTTAAAGCAGTAGTCACCAAACTTGTTTCTGGAGGGCCGGTGTCCTGCAGATTTTAGCTCCAACCCTAATCAAACACACCTGAACAAGCTAATCAAGGTCTTACTAGGCATACTTGAAACGTTCAGGCAGGTGTGTTGAGGCAAGTTGGAGCTAAAACCTGCAGGGACACCGGCCCTCCAGGTCGAGATTGGTGACCCCTGATTTAAAGGATCATATCGGAAATTTCACTTTTGTGGATTTTTTCTGCTGTCTGCCACCTCAGACAAAGTTAAAAAGAAAACCATGCAGCTTTTTTTGGGGGGGGGGGGGGGGGGGGGGGGGGGGGGGGGGGGGGGGGGGGTTATGTTTGTGCCATAATTGACCTGTTTGAATTTCACCATTTTACGTGTACAGTAACCAGTTACTTCTTCACACTTCCCAGCCTCCAAGCAAACTGTGGACTCCGTCCTCCTCCCACCTCTTTTTGTAAACAAATAGCAAATCGGCTAATAATGGTGCCTTTTCTTCCTCCACACTAGAGATCCTAGCTAGAATCAGATTATCATACTTGTTCACACTGACTAGCTGAACATTTTTTTAGTTTACCAGTGTATATTGAATATTTTAATTATATATATTTTATATGATCACACACACACAACACACATATGTATATATATATATATATATATATATATATATATATATATATATATATATATATATATATATATATATATATATATATATATATATATTTCATACACACAGTTGAAGTCAGAATTATTAGCCCCCTTGTTTATTTTTTTCCAATTTCTGTTTAACCGAGAGCAGATTTTTTTCAGCACATTTCTAAACATAATAGTTTAAATAACTCATTTCTAATAACCGATTTATTTTGTCTTTGCCATGATGACAGTAAATAATATTTGACTAGATATCTTTCAAGATACTTCTATACAACTTAAAGTGACATTTAAAGACTTAATTAGGTTAACTAGGCAGGTTAGGGTAATTAGGCAAGTTATTGTACAACGATCGTTCGTTCTGTAAACTATCGGGGGAATAATAAGTAAATTTTGTCCTTAAAATGGTGTTTAAATAAATTAAAAACTGCTTTTATTCTAGCCGAAATAAAACAAATAAGACTTTCTCCAGAAGAAAAAAATATTATCAGACATACTGTAAAAACTCTAACTCTGTTAAACATCATTTGGGAAATATTAAAAAAAGAAAAAAAATTCAAAGTGGGGGGAATAATTCTGACTTCAACTGTATAAGCTGCTTTCTGTTTAATCTAAATGGCTAAGTTGCTCTGCTAACTGCTAACCAGTGAAGATAACTAGCCAAACAATTGGCTCACACTTACATTTTTAGCTAATCAGAAAATTTATTTTTGCTAAGTTTTGTTGTGATGTCGGTGCACTATTTAAAGTAAAGTGCTAGCAAAACCGCTACGTATTGAGCAGGTATCACTTAATTGTATGCTATGATACCTTCTTAATGCTGATGAAAGACGCAAGATGTACACTTGCCTTGGCATGGTCGGGTGGGATGTAATACATTTTTACTATAGTCATGTCACTTATTTTCTTGCTCATCAGCAAAAGACTGTATTAGAAAGGCTCAGTGGCTTCAACATGAGTCAGCAAATTTAGCCTTTTTACTTCCAGATAAAGTCTAATTAAGCTAAGAGCTTTACTGGCTCCACTATCCTTTCTTTCTTTCATTTCTAAACCTGTAACGCCCACCTTCCCGACTCACCACCCAAAGAAACGGGCCAAGAAGGCAACAGAGGAAAGATGGCACTAATTGGACGCCCCCCCTGTAATCTCTGAGCCCAGAATAAGATCAAGCAGACACCTGGTTTGCGTGACCTATACTCAGCGTTTTTAGCTATGATCTTCGTGACTCAGCTCACATTTTCTGCCTGAGTGCGTTCGCAGAGAAAGCCAACATTTGGGTAACTTTCATTTCGTAGAAATTGACAGATTAGCTTCTTGGAATTTGCTGAAGATGATATTTAGCTTGGAAGTGGCTAGTTTTCAATTAGGCTAAACTGCTGGCTAAAAAAGTATTACTCTGGTGAATTTGCCTTTTCAACTATTTCCTAAATTATGTTTAACAGAGCGAGGGGGTATACAGGGGTGCTACCCTGCTGAAAAATCCAGCTTAAACCAGCCTAAGCAGGTTGGCTGGTTTTAGCTGGTTGACCAGCCTGGTTCTGGAGGGGCTTTGGCCATTTCCAGGCTGGTTTTCAGCCAATTCCAGCCTGGTCTTAGCTGGTCAGGCTGTAAAATGACCAGCTAAATCCAGCTAAAACCAGCTTGACCAGCCTGGTTTAAGCTGGACATAGCTGGTTTTGGCTGGGCTCCCAGCTTGGCTAGGCTGGTCAAGCTGGTCTAAGCTGGTCATCTCCCAGCCTGACCAGCTAGGACCAGGCTGGAAATGGCTGGAAACCAGCCTGAAAATAGCCAAAACCCCTCTAAAACCAGCTTGGTCAACCAGCTAAAACCAGCCAACCAGCCTAGGCTGGTTTAAGCTGTTTTTTTCAGTAGGGTAATAATTCTGACTTCAACTGTATGCGATACCCTTCGAGTTCTGGTGCTGTTGAGAGCAGCTCCTTAGTTCTACTTTACTACTTTGTAATTGAGCTAACACTTGTATACCAATTGGAAAACATCACATCAGGCACAGTCTGTCTTAAATAGTCCGGGAAATCAACGGTAAACAGACACAGTTGTGATGGCAGGTCAGTGTACGTGGACCGGGTGTAATGAGCGTGGTATGTATGGACTTGTAGTTTTTGGGCGCTGTAGTTCATAGTCAGTGTCCGTTGAATTACAGCGCCCTCACGTGGTCACTGACAGTCACGACAGTCATGTACTTGCAAAGTTTTTTATAGTCAGAAAAATGTGTTAAAGGAGCAGTATCAACAGATATTAAGCAGACAGTCTACTAATATTAAAACGGACCATCAAAATAAAGTCTTACCCTAGCTTCCGACATAGAATGAATGCTTATTGATCTTGAAAGTTATTTTAAATTCTGCAAAGTATTAATTTATTTCAGTTAGTTGTTGAGTTTCCTTTAGTTTTAGTTTTTCATTTCAATTTAAAAAAATAAATGAACTAAAATAATTTCTCAATGATAGTTTTAGTCTTATTTTACACTTACAACAATAACCTTGCAGCACACTCAGGTTTTCTTCTGTAAAAATCTAACCACTGGTCTCTTTGGTCTTCAGGTTATGGTCACGCAGCTCCAGGCACAGATGCTGGGAAGGCCTTCTGCATGTTTTACGCCGTGCTGGGGATCCCGCTCACGCTGGTGATGTTCCAGAGCCTCGGCGAGCGGATGAACACCTTCGTCAAGTACTTGCTAAAGCGCATCAAGAAGTGCTGCGGGATGCGCATCACAGAGGTGTCCATGGAGAACATGGTAACAGTGGGCTTCTTCTCTTGCATGGGCACGCTCTGCATCGGCGCTGCCGCATTTTCCCAGTACGAGGACTGGAGCTTCTTCCAGTCCTATTACTATTGTTTCATAACACTCACCACTATTGGCTTCGGGGACTTCGTGGCCCTCCAGAAGAACAAAGCCCTGCAGAAAAAGCCTCTTTACGTGGCGTTCAGCTTCATGTACATCCTAGTGGGGCTGACGGTCATCGGGGCCTTCCTCAATCTGGTGGTGCTACGCTTCTTGACCATGAACAGCGAGGACGAGCGACGGGATGCTGAGGAGAGGGCGTCCCTGGCGGGGAACCGCAGTAGCATGATCATCCACATCCAAGAAGACACGCTTCAGAGGAGTCGGCGGAGGCGAGAACAGCAGCAGAACCGCTACCGTCCCGAAGTCACCGATCTCCAGTCGGTTTGCTCCTGCATGCACTACCACTCGCATGAGTTCGGGAGCTCGGTCGGCCTCGGGTTGGGATTGGGAGGAGGTGGCGGAGGTGCGTTTCCGCAGCAGAACTCATTCGGCTCGCAGTTGAGCCCGCATCCGTACCATCACTACCACTCAACGGTGTCCTACCGCATCGAGGAGATCTCACCGAGCACCTTGAAAAACAGCTTCCTTCCTTCCCCGATCAGCTCCATCTCTCCTGGGCTGCACAGCTTCGCGGAAAACCTCCGGCTTATGAGACGACGCAAGTCCATCTGAACACACACACACACACATACAGAGATATATCCAATGCTGCTCAACCAAACCTCATTCCTGCACTTGCCATTTGTTGCATGGAGGCGACCATGCAAGCAGGACGATCGATGGATATGTAGGAACTTTGTTCAAAATAAAGCATGAAGTGCATGGATATCTATTTTTGCAGAAAACATCGCCTGGGCTTTCTTTGCCCTTTTGAGCAGCACCCCAGCTGGGTTTGGATATATTAATATTACAACCTTGATACGTTATCAGACGATGCACACTCGCGTTTTGAATAATACAGAGGGAAATATATCTATATATAAATATCTAATTTTTTTAAGGGACGTGTGGAGAAAGCGTTTTATCAAACGGCGAGCAGCCTCTGGTTCTTTCGTGAGATTTCAAGTGCCACACACCTACCGAAGGAGAAATAACGATTAAAAAAAAAAACTGATTTGAAAAGGACTACACTGTATCAGGTATTGTTTTCTATAAGCAATTCTATTTAAGAGAAGAAAAATAAGACATTGATTCACATCACGCCAAAATATTGTTGCCAACCATAGCATGTGCATTAGTTGTCCCTTGATGTGCGTCATCATTTCTGTTAACGTTTTTTTTGTTTCGTTTTCGTTTCATTTCTCAACCGTTTTCTGTAAATTATACATGTGTGTAGAGACTTTCCAAGCGCGGTATATTTAGAGGCGACAGACAGCAAAAGTCGGTTGTGAGAGAAGAATAATTGCATGTGCTTTGTTCAAACTGATATGCGTATACTGTCACAAGGGGACACTGGATCTGATATTAAAAAGCAAATAATCCTTTAAACATTTTTTTTAGATGAACGACGAACTTCTGAAATCATCCACTAAAATGGCCACACAATGGGAACGTAATGGCATCACCGATGATTTTTACTCATCGTTATTTATATAAATAAAAGCACGTTGAGTCGACTATTATTCCATTGTGAGCAATCAATGTATAATGTATGCTAACCCCAGTAACGATTGCATTTCTCGCAACCATAGCCATGAATGAGACTTATTTAAATGCATCGATAGAGACGGTTATTTATGTATTTTACACATTTGATGATGTCTTCAGAGGACGCCCTGCAAATGAGCCTAAAATTGCTCTGACGCTGATTGAAAAAAAAAACATAGTGCACCTCTTTTAGGGGAAGGGACTGGATGTAATCAACAGTTCTCCTTCTCTCCGATGAATAACAGCAATCATGTCACTTTTCAGTTTCAAGCTAAACTTTCACTAGGTCTTGGATACAATATCTGAGGATCTGTGTTGCAGCTACAATAAAGCAGAGTTGGAGTCAAGACGAGACCCTACAAAGCCAAGACCAGCGATAGATCTAAAATTAGTAATATGATACAAATATCACAGATTTTCACATTGTACAGTGGCTACAATGACTTTCAGAACCTGTCTTAGTATCACCTGTTGGAAAATATACTTTACTCAAGCCCTAAACTGAACATCTGGAGCCTCATGTATCGACACACACAAAAACTTTGCGTACGCCAGGATTCACGCTCACGTTTGGATTTACTAACGTTAAAATGAACGTGGGAATGTGCGCAGGTCCACGCCAACTTCATGCCTGGCGTTTGTACATTTCTTGTGTGTGTCTGATTTATATCCATTGGCGACTCCTAGAGGCAGTTGTGTTAAATTGCTCTCTTCAAAGTGTCTGAGTCGAGCAATGGCAGCTGTATGAGACGGCTTCATCTGCATGTCTAGCAGGTAAATAAGATTTCCATACCATGCAGCTGACCAGCCAAACATTAAAGCGCGATTTACAGCGATCGCCATTTTTCCCAATGTAATCGGAGCGATCTACTGCACGCACATTGCTATAAAGACGTCATCTGAGGATTAATTTGTATACATGAATCAGAAACATTTGCATTCAATAAATGTGCAAATAAAATATGATGCACAGACTTATTAATGATTCCTACTTGTCTTTCTCGTGATGAAGAGTATAGGCAAAATCTGATATGTAGTGGGGGGGGAGAATGAGTTCATCAGACGCTGGATTCGAACCGAGTTCATGCTCGAACGTGTCAAAACATGTTGCCATGCGTTTTACATCGCACTATTTCTTTTTTAATCCACTCAGTGCGATGTTCAGACCAAACTGTGTTAACCGCATCAGCTAAACTCTCCCACTCTATTTTTTTCTTTTGTTGTTAATTCCGGAGGACAAATTTGCAAATAACACAGTTTTTCTCCGGTCTACCTCCGAAAGCAGCACCTCCAATTCACTTTTTCAATTTTTCGTTGGGTTTTGTCAAAGTAGAGTCATTAGCATATTCATACGGGGGAGGAGGCAGGGAGGGGTTTTGTGCTCGTGCATGTTGCGCTCCGTTTCACGTTCATTCGGATGTACAAACAGAATATGCGTGTGATCCGGCGTACGCAGTGTTTCATACATCTGATTTTTTTACTGCGTACGCACAATTACTGCTTTGAGCATACGCAATGTTTTCATATGAATTCAACGCAAGTCTTCGTACATAATGCCCCTGATCACATTCAGTAGGTTTGGTTAGATTAAACGAACGCTCCACAATTTTTAGGCTCTAAAGTTAACCGTTTTTGTAATCCATTCAGCTGATTGAGAATATGTTCAACCGGTATGTAGATTTGTTTAGATCAGGGGTGCTCAAACTTGGCCAGTGTCCTGCAGAGTTTAGTTTCCATCCCAATTAGACACACCTGAACTAGCTCATTAGGCTCTTTATAGGTATACTAAAAGCTTCCAGCCAGGTCCGTTGAAGAAATTTGGAGCTAAACTCTGCATGATGCCGACCTTCCAGGACTAAATTCGAGCAACTGTTGGTTGGATTAAAGGAATGCTCCACTTTTTTAGGCTCTAACGTTAAGCAGTTGAGTTTAACCATCTCTTAAAGTATTTAGACGATTTCCGAGTCTGCCGGGAGCACATTTAGCTTAGCTTAGCATAGATCATTGAATCAGATTAGACCATTAGCATCTCACTCCAAAATGACCAAAGCTTGACTCTTCTGTAGTTAAATATGCCATATACTGTAGTTAAGTTCACTAGGAATGACGGAAAATCAAAAGTTGCTATTTTGTAGATTGATATAGCTAGGAACTATACTCTTGTTCTGATGAAATAATCAAAGAAATTTACTGCCGTACAACGGCTGCAGCATATAACACAGTGTTGTTACCTATATTTAACATTTTCCTTTAGTTCTTAGTACACAATTTAACTACGGAAGCGTCAAGCTTTAATAAGTGAAAATTATTTAAATTTATTTTGAGTGAGATGCTAATGGTCTAATCTGATTCAATGATTTGTGCTAAGCTAAGCTAAAAGTGCTCTCACCAGACCTGGAGATGGTCTGAATGGATTAAAAAATGGTAAAACTAAACTGTTTAACTATAGTGCATAAAAAGTGAAGCATCCCTTTAATCCAACCAAGGGTTGCTCAAAAATGGTCCTGGAAGGTCGGCTTCTTGTAGAGTTTAGCTCCAGATTGCTTCAACGCACCTGGTTGGAAGCTTCTAGTATACCTATAAAGGTTAGGTGTGTCTAATTGTAATGGGAACTGAACTCTGCAGGACACTGATCAGGTTCGAGCACCCCTGATCTATCCAAACCTGCCGAATGTGAACACATGCTCAATTTAGGGCCCAAGAAAAGTACATTTCCAACATTAAAGGTGATTCCTTTAAAGCATATGTCTCGAACTTGATTCTTGGAGGGCTCTATCTGCACAGTTTTGCTCCAACTCTAATCAAACACAGCTGATCCAACTAATCAAGGTGTTCAAAACTACTAGAGACTATTAAGCAGGTGTGAGCTAACCTATGCAGAGCTGCGGCCTTCCAGGAATTGAGTTTGAGACCATTGCTTTAAAGTATGTGTGTAGATAAAATCCAAGGCACCATTTAGATGATATAAACAGATTACAGCAAGACATATTTTGTTAAAAGCTGCCATGATAGTGATAATATTTGACAGAAAAGCAAGTCTCACGGGTTTCAGGTGGAAAGTCAGGTCTGGATTGGAACCTTGCCGATGTTTTCCTGCAGAAAAAACGAAATCTGGATTAATTGTCCTGATGTGGATCACTGAGGTATGCAAAAGCCCAAAAGTAATTCGGTTTCAGACACGACTAATTAATGAGAGAAACTCCTTCGGGAATATATGGCGCTCTTTTTAGTCAATCTCAAACAGCTCGCCTTTCTAACACCAATCAACTTGACGCCTGACATTCCGGATTTCCACAGCATACGTCGGTCGCAGCACTCATGTAAATGTATGTAAATGGCTAGCTTTTTATAATACTGTACAGTGCATATATTGTAAGTAGTTATATCCTTGACAAATGACAAAGGCATATTTTAAACTCCGATGCATTCCCATTTTTACAGCGTTCAGCATATATACTGTATGTGCCTTGAAGGGGTATCTTTCAGAAGTGGAGTTTGTATTTCATTAAGGCACATACTCAAATTCATATTCAGATGTAAAAGCAAACCAATTAAAAAAAGAAAAGAAGAGAAGCTCCCCAATGTATTTACATGGAAGACGTCACATCGAATAAAACCAAAGCAACTAATCCTCACAAAAAGCCGCCGGCGCCAAAACAATGCACAAACATATATATTTTTCTGTCTTAAATACGTCCATCTTTTCTCTAGCACAAAAAAAAAGCATTATTTTCAATATTATTTGGTATCAGTTGTCACTTTAAGCTGTGTGTGTACAGTACAGTAGCCTACATGATGGTTCCGGGATGGAATAATATGTATTTTACGTTAATAAAACTGTACATGCATATTATATGTAATAGCCTGAGGATGATTACTCGGAGAGATGAGCTTGTCTGTGTGGAAGAGATGAAATGTAAAAGACTTTATGATTGGCAACAGTTGCACTGCTGTAGGAGGACACTGACATAAAAATTGATTTTTATCCAAATCATATGCATCACATTTCAGTCCGTCCAGTTTCA